CCAGATCATTGATAAAGATGTTAAGCAGGACAGGCACCAAAACAGAGCCCTGGGGAACACTGCTTGTGACTGGTCACCAACTGGATTTAGCTTCATTCACTACAACTCTCTGTGCTCGGCCATACAGCCAGTTTTTAACCCAGCAAAGCGTATGCCTGTCCAAGCCATGCCCAGCCAGCTTCTCCAGGAGGATGCTGTGGGAGACGGTGCCAAAGGCCTTACTAAAGTCCAGGTCGACAACGTCCACAGCCTTTCCCTTGTCCAGCAAGCAGGTCACCTCGTCATAAAAGGAGATGAGATTGGTCAAGCAGGACCTGCCCTTCCTGAACCCATGCTGACTGGGCCTGATCGCTTGGTTAGTCTGTGCTGGTGAGACACTGGAGTAGTTCTGCTGGTCTCCAAAGCTTGCTTCTTTCTCTTCTCTTCATCATAGGTGCGTGAGTAGCGCTCACTGCCAGGAACGGAACCATTATTTTAGAGCTTTGACAGCTCAACATCTGTTTTCACTTAAGAAAACATTTTACGAACTGGGAAATTTTTTTTCCCCAGATTTTTCCATCTGCTGACTTGATGGATGCTTACCCATTTGTTGTAGTTACCATTACCAGTCTTCAGCAGCAGAATGGGGAGTGAGGATGTAAACCCCAGTGTTTCATAAGCGATAACTAAAATTTGCTCTCCTCCTAGCTCATGCCCTGCAGGCACCTGCGATGGATGCACTTTCTACTTTGTATGGGAAAGTGCAGAAGCTTGCCCTCTCTGCACAGAGCAAGACTACCATGAGATTGAGGGAGCCTGCAAAAAAGGATTTCAGGTACGGGACCCATGTCCCCAAGTCAGATGGGTTCATTTGGGTATGACTTGGATTCTGTTGAAATTCAGTGTGCAAGTTGATATGTAAGTGCAGGGAGAGTTGGGAAATCTTGGTCTGAGCTGGCAGGGTGCAACTCTTACTGGTGAGGTGCTGTGCTGAGTCTCAAGGATATTTGTGCCAATGGCAGTGTGGTTGCTGGAGGAAAGTTTGTGCTGACCAGCTGTGTGGGTAGGGACATGAACTCTGTATGCATTCCATACATGCAGGCCAGTTGTTTGTGAAGGGTGGAGTGCCCAAAGGACTTCAATCCGTTAATAGCTGTAAACATCACAGACAGGCTAGGAAGGAATTCAGAATTTCAGTTCAGAAATTCATCCTTCCTTGCTTGCGATTTTTTTGCTGTAGCCTTGTCCAGTATTAGAAAGTCCTTTTTCAGGTTCAGAACTGTCCTGTTGATCAACAGCTTCACAGCACATTCACAATTGCTATCCAACCCATATTGTGCCAGGTGAAGAGCAATTTGGAAGAGGAAATCCTTTTGCTATGTCTGAACCTGCAGGCACAATCAAAGAGACAGCTACGTAGACAATATGACTTAGCCCAAAGTCTGAAAACCTGAAGTACATGTTTTAGTTTGCTTTCATTGAAAAGATGTCTAACCTGTCTACCTCAGAAGAGCTTGTTTTCTTCAACTCTAAATAGTTCTTTCTTTTCCTATAAGCAACTCACTTTTTGGTGTTTTCTGTTTTCCATTTGAAAGGAAACCTTGTACGTATGGAATGAGCCAAAGCATTGCATTAAAGGGGTTTCCTTACCAGAAAAAAGGACCAGCACTTGTGAAACAGTGGATTTTTGGCTAAAAGTTGGAGCTGGTGTTGGTGCTTTCACAGCCGTTCTGCTCATAGCCTTGACCTGCTATTTTTGGAAGAAGAACCAGAAGTAAGTACTGCAAATTGTGTCTCATATAAAAGTAAGCGTAAAGCTTAATCTAGTGAACAGTAAGACATTTCATGGGTCTAATCTTATGACAGTGTTAATGAGAAATACCATGTTGGATCAATCTGTTAATCCACCAAGTTGAGGTTTCTTCTGCCAACTGTGGCTATCAATAACGCAAGTCAGAAGACCATAGAAAATCCACAGTAATTTGTTATGGAATAATTTCCAAACAGGAACTGTCTTTTTAACCACTGAGGGTTTGAAGTTGACCTTAGGTCCTGAAGCAGCATGGCTTTCTCAAGTTCAGAAGACCAAAAGGACATCACTTCAGTCTAATTAGTCCCTTCCAGCTGGGTTAAAATAAGGTTCTTGACTGTATATTTCTTAGGTCTATTTTGGCAGGACATGTCTGTCTTAAAAATGTATTTTTAAGTATCTAATTTCCAATAAATACCTCAGAATTAACTATGTGGAAGGACTGCAGATAATCTAAATTCCAAAAACCTTGAATATGGAATATTGTAAAAAAATCTATGCCTGTCTGGCTTTATATCTTCAGGCTGGAGTATAAATATTCCAAATTAGTGATGACAGCAAACTCAAAAGAGTGTGAGCTGCCAGCTGCTGACAGTTGTGCTATAATGGAAGGAGAAGATAATGAAGAAGAAATAGTATATTCAAATAAGCAGTCCCTGCTGGGGAAGCTCAAATCCTTGGCAACGAAGGTGGGTAGTAATTAGTACTATTAATCCTAAAAATAGTTATTACCTTTATTTATTACTGGACGTGATGAAGCTGTGATGCTAATTTGCACAGTGCTTTGTGCAGCCTCCCACGCACACCTCACCCAGTCCACAGTCAGTCTGCCGAAATCCGCAGTATGGGTAATGATAAGCAGTGTTGCAGGGTTTTGAGTAAATGCTCCCTCTTCTGCAGAGAGATTTCAGTAGCATTCTTCATTGTATGAGTGATACCTAAAAAGAGCGGGGAGGTCCTCTCTTCCCAGGTTCCTACCAGACACCTCCATTGCCATGGCAAACAGCTATTACAGAACATGAATACAGGAACACAGCTGCTTGCAGCTCACCTGGGTTGGTATCAGCCATAACAGCTGGCTTGAGACCCTTAATTTTGAGTGTTATTGGATTCAGTTGAAAAGGAAGCATCAGCCACAGCCTGTTACCCAATACAGTAACCTCCTCCATTTCAGTGGGAAGTAACAGAAAAAAGCATTTTTTCCCTGCAGCATATGTGATGTGGGTTGTGACATGTCTGGATTCATAGCACAGAGGTCTCTGGTGTCCTTTGAACATTTCTGAGAGGAGCAACAGAGGACCATCTTGGTAGATCCCACAAGCACTTTGGTCTTTATTCCAAATGCCTTGAAGTCAGTGGGAAGGGTAGCGTTGTCAGGGGAGTCCAGCTGGGACATCTGTTATGATCAGGATAAAGGTGGATGACATTTTCCCTTTCAAAAGTTTAGCTGAAGAAGGTTGTTACAAAATAAGAAGGTTTATTAAAAGATCACAACTTAAAAAATGTTTTTGAAAAGTCCCCCTCTTGTTTCTTGTCCAAATAATATTTCAGAATGTTAAATAAGATTTTTCTTTTATTCTTTTTTTCCTTTCTGTGACTGGGTGCAATGTAATTAAAACCTATGTGCCTCCTTTTCTTTTCCCTTATTTTTCTCTTCTCTTTGTTCTTTCACTTTTTTTATTAGACTGCTGTCCTTTTTCCACACTACCTGCTCCCCAGATCTCTCTCCAAGGAGATGTTACCATTACACAGCTAATATGCGGAACTGCCCCGTGACCCCAGTTTGACTATTTGTCTTGCAAAATCAATATTGTTCCTTGTGGAAAGGGGCAGAAATTCAATATTAATTCTTAATTCAATATTGAGAATATTGAAAATGTAAATAAAATCAAACCACATCAAGTTTTGTGGTGGTGTTGCAAAAATGGACGTTGATTCCATTTTGAAGCCTGTAGGGACTGACTTTGAATTACGGATGATGGTTTTTTGTCCGTGAAATGGCTTGGCTGGCTGTGGCTGAGTGTGATGACCAGCACTGCTGGCGAGGGCCATGTTTTGCTGTGAGGCTGATGTAAAAGTGTAAAAGCTTTGCTGACTCCATTTGCAGCGCCAACCACTGGCTCCTTCCTGATTAGAAGTGTAGAGATGAGAGCGTGGGAGAAGTTTGGGGTTTTTTTTTACTCTTTAAAGTAAGCTTTAGTTCAGTATTCAGAGCACTTGAATGCCTATTTGGACTCAAAAAGAGTTTTCTAAAGTTCCTGTATCCATTGTTGCCGGCTCTCTGAGTATTCACTCCTTTTTAAACAAGCCTGTCAGATATTTCGAAGCTGATTCCTTTTTTCCTGCTAGATAATCATAGCTGGCAAACTCAGCTTCCAGTACCTCATTAGCTTACTGAAATCTGGGTCCTGTATCCCTGCAGATAACTGGAATTTAATATATATTTCTCTAAAACAAATGTTCTAGGCATCAGTTTTCATTTATGCAAAAGATAAGGAAATTCATCTCCTGCTGTATATGCACGTAAAATATGGAAAAATATATGGAGGAAAACAGGGGAGAAAAAGAGGAGAAATGTAAACTGAGAGATAAAGAGAAATCTGAAGTATCCTAACTATATGTTCAAGCTTCAGGCAATGGCATTTATTTGAAGCAAAACATCTCATGAAGCTATTAGTGGTTTTAAGTTCCCAAGGAATTCAGGGCTAGACCTGTAATATAGAAAGAAATGACTGTTATTTTAAATGAGAATATAGAAGTTAAAGAACTATGAAACTGCTTCAGATTGGAGGCTGTTCTGGTTCCGTCTGTTGTCTCTAGCATAACACTACCAGGTCCTACAGAACAGGAAATATCTGCTCTGCAGTAGGCAGGTGTAGGACAATTTTCTTCCCTGCTCTTTCTCACATCTACACCAGGCTGTCCTGGTCTCTGAGGGAGATGACTTTAAAGATCAGATCATGAGGTTAGTTTAACACCGTTTACAAACTGTGTACATCAACAAGTATAAGAGGCAGCTACACAAAGCAAGCCCTGATTTTCAAGATGGCAGAGGATTTGTGGGCTCTTTTTTCCTATGGGTCTCCCAGAGGAGGAGCTGGGATGGGAATCCAGGAGTGAGGCAGTGGTATTCACATTCACAGTCATTGCTACAAACATTTTATTTATTGTAGAAAACACATGAATAAGTAATAATAACCATAGATATGGTTACCTTGCAATTGCCCAGCTCTGACTACCTGTCCTATACTATGAGTATGAAATGCTCATGGAATTTTCCCTGTACCCGCTTAAGTAAGTACCATGAACAATATATATGGCATAATTTTGTTGATTCTTGCAAATTTTTACAGATTTAGTAGTATTATTAAATAATAAAAGGTCAAAGGGTGCACTTAATGACTGTGGTAGAAATAAAGTGAAGTCTTTGGCAAAGGCTGCCCTAGGGGTATTAAGAGAAGTGACTGTAGTAACTGTGGGAGTGAATTTGAGGAATCCCAGTTGATGGGAACGTGTCTTTTCCATTGCAGGAAAAGGAAGATCATTTTGAATCTGTTCAGCTGAAATCTTCACGATCCCAGAATATATGAAGAATTAATGCTGCCTTCAAAGAAACAAACCTAATTTCTATTTTTACAGGACCGTGTTTTAAACATATTCTGGCACACATTGTAGTGGTGATCTTGGTGAGAAATGCTTGGCCATGTAGGAAGAAAAAAACCAGGAAGCAAATCAGAAAATTGGATTGCCTTACTATGTGATTGAGTACCTTGCCAAAAAAAGAAAGCAGATGCTTGGATTCCATAGTGGGAAAGAAATTCAACTCAGGAAGAGATATACATACTGCAAATAACATGAATTCTTTGCATTCACCTGGGCATTGCTCAGGCATACCATATGATTTATAGGTACCTTTCATTTCCTTTCAGTCCTTCTACGCATATTCATAAGAAATGATTTTCAGAGAGACCTGAAACCTCCTGCAAAGGTTGTGTATTGTCCTTTAGTAACATAACTATGGGTCTCTTTTAAAATCAAAATTGTGAATGGTACTTGGAATGAGCCTCAGGTGAGTTTTGATCTTTGGAAAATACTTTTGATTTTACTTCTTTGTAGGGCTGGATGGTCTGTGTTGGCCTCTAATACAAGAAGCAAGGTGTTGCACCTGGAAGTTGAGCCCATTCTGATGCCTAAGTCCTGGCATCAGGATTGGGGTAAAACCTGGTGCTATAAATCTAAATGTGTTAACTGCTGTTGTATGAATTGTAGGTCTGGGCCTGAGTTTATAGGCAGTAGCAGTCTCAAACTCTATAAAGAGAAGAAAAGTGATACCTACACTTCAAGTTGCACTTGCCCCTCTCTATGGAAGCTTCTCCTTTCAAGAGAGATCATTGGCAATTTCAGTACCTTCCATCGGGCTGCCAATATGTCACCTTTCCCTGGGCTGCAAACCAACAAAGCCTGAACTCTGGAGGTAAAGCAAGAATCTCTACTTCTGGAAATCAGGGATCAGCTTTATCAGTCAGGAGGTTTATTAGAAACACTCAACCACCTTCATTCCTGAACCACACAAGGAACGAGGATGGAAGCCCAGCAGAACTGAGCATGGGTTACATACTCGTGCAGCTCAACATTCAGATGCTTTCTGCTGTCAATGCAAGCACCAGCTTTGGAACGAAGGCACAAAATGGTGCCTTGGAAACTGGAGGCTAGGTGGACTTTTTCATTAAATTGGCCACATTATAAGCATGTGATCTTCATAATATCCACTGTAATAATTTCCTGAAATTCCCATTGAGGTCACACTCAAAGGAATCTGAAACTTAGGCATAAATCTTTGAGTAAAATTATGCAAGACTTGTATAGAGCCAGGAGAAAACGAGGAATGAATCTTGTATTGACTTCTGGTCAGGTTCATATTTCCATTATAGCAAAATTGTGTGAATTGTAGAATGCAACAAAACCAGAAAAGACACATAGGCAGAAATGGTCTTTTTGCTATAAGGAATATAGACTTTTGATTTTCTATGTCTGAGCTAGATCTACTAATAAAAGAGGGCCCACTTTTAAGTAAAATTTAAATTAAACTGAATTTTCTGCACTCTAAATATTTTATTATACTACAGATGTGGACAAAAATTTTATGAGGTTTAGATTTTCTTTTTCTTTAGGCAAAATTCAGCTCAATTATTTTATATCTCCAGTCAATGAACACAGGCTTTACTTTTTTGATGGGAGATACTGCAGGCATCTTACTGAAGTGGTGTACATTTTTTGTTGTTCTTGAAAAGGCACTTCACTTTCCCAACAAAGATTTTTATGGGGTATTGTTGAATGTATATTAAATACACATTCCTTTTTGTATATTTTGTACCATTGCACACTTATTGTACATTGTATTTGTTGTCATGATGTCATTTATATATGATTGTCTAAGGTGATATGCTCACAGAGTAAATGGTTACAGCTTTGGGATTTCACTTCTTGGATCTTTTATGAAGAGGATTTTTATGTTGTTGATTTTTATTCAACTAGTGTGCTGTAGCATCAAAGATATATATATATATCTGATGGGCATTCATAAAATAAAGTGAAAATATATTTGAAATTTTGGACTTGAGATGTTTGGTGGAACTCCAGCCTTTCCTGAACATTGCAGATCTGCAGTGGTGGCTGGAGCTTTTCACTGCCATCAAATTGCATCTGTCTACATCTCCTTTAATTTTTTCCCTTCTCTCTCCATATGTTTTTTAAGCCATAATTGCAGTTCATTGTCCTAAACATAGTTTCTTCTTTCATTACTGGACCCATATCTCTGTAACATCAAAATGCCTTAATTTATATGAACTATATTTAATTTTACATAATACCACAGCAGGTTTGTTTAGTTCCCTTCCCTTCCCCCCCCTTTTTTTTCCAAATAGAGCAGAAACTGGCATTTTTCGTCAGCTCTCGCATCCTTTGCTGTATGACCCTTCTCAACTTTGCTTCCAAATGGTTTGTCACGATATTGTTCGAAATTCTTCCAGGCAATCTAATAGCATGTCTGATGCAGTGGGACATGGTTGGATACAAACCAATACTGCAGACTTTATTTACCTTAAAATAAGAAAACTGCTTTTTCAAACTATTAAGCAAATTAAAACTGGCATATTTTAGCTGACTTCTGCTATTCTTTTCTTTGTGTTAAAGATCTAGTAGAGAGGGGAAGTTTCCATTTTTCCATAAGAGATAAATTTTGGAAGCCTTTAACACTTCATTAAAATATCATCTGTCTGTGACCTCTTCTAGTATTCTGCCAAAATATACTTACAGCAACCTCCCCCCTTCTCTCCCACATGGAATCACATCAGAAACTGTTATTTGATGCCATAACCAATGTGAATCAGTCTGTTATGTGTTCACTTGATTAAACAGAATGCATTTTATTGCTGCATTTGCATGCTTTTCTTTGAAATCCGGAGTCAAGCGACTGAATCTCTTTGAGGATTAAGTGCGTTTTAGTGGTGTCTCTGTATAATTTATTGGCAAATTAGCAGAATGTTATTGTCTCAGCTTTGACAGTGCTTGCTAGGGGGCAAATATGCAAAGAATGTATTTTATCTTGGCTCTGATTATGTTGGTTGACGTTTGTAATATATAATACAATTGATTAAGAGTCTAGGATTTGGGAAAATTAAGAGTCTTAGAGACACAGTGGGAAGTTACTGAGTAGCTTCAGGGAGCTGCCATCTCTGTTCAAAGAAAGGATTTGACTACTTGTTCTTGAAAAAGAGATTCTGGGATTCTTTGTTAGTAAAGGGGAAAGTTTGCAGCTTTTGGTTTGTCTGTCCTGCTGGAGCCAATAGTACCCATAAAATAGAGATACTTAGTTATAATCAGACAAGATAGAAGCAGATGTTGCCATTTAGGAGCCAGTGGTTGTTGACTCATCTCCAGCAGTGGCCAACACAAATGTAAAAGATGTAAGAGTAAATGTAACAGTAAAAGCACTACAATTGGTGCTGGCACAACAATAAGGATGACATTTCTTCCTAAGCAAGTAATACTGCTGGTTGGTTCACATCAGAGAATAGTAGAATCATAGACTAGAGACCTTTAAAGGTCATCTAGTCCAATCCACTGCAATGAGCAGGGACATCTTCAACTAGATCAGGTTGCTCGGAGCCACACTCAACCTGATTTTGAATGTTTCCAGGGATTGGGCATCTACCACCTCTCTGGGCAACCTGCTCCAGTGTTTCACCACCCTCATCATAAAATACTTCTTCCTTAGGTCTAGTCTGAATCTACCCACTTATAAATGGCCAAGCCAAGTGGCCAAGCCACTCTCCATGATATCTGAAAAGTCATGGCAGTCAGGTGAAGTTCCTTGTGACTGGAAGAAAGGAAACATCACATCCATTTTTAAAAATGGTAGAAAGGAGGATTTGAGAACTACTGACCTGTCAACCTCACCTTTGTGCCTGGGAAGATCATGGAGCAGATCCTCCTAGAAGGTTTGATAAGGCACATGGAGGACAGGGAGGTGATTTACTAACAGCAAATCCTGCCTGACCAACCTAGTGGTTTTCTACAATGGAATGACTACATCAGGGAACAAGGGGAGAGCAATGAATGTTATCGGTGTGGACTTCTGCAAGGCCTTTGACACAGTCCCCCACAACATCCTTCTCTCTGAGTTGGAAAGACATGGATTTGATGGGTGGACTGTTCAGTAGATAAGGAATTGGTTGGATGGTCACATCTAGAGGGTAGTGATCAATGGTTCAATGTCCATATGGAGATGGGTGAAAAGTGGTGCCCCTCAGGGGTCTTTACTAGGACCAATGCTGTTTAGTATCTTCATCAATGACATAGACAGTGGGATTGAGTGCACCTTCAACGAGTATGACAGCAAGATGACACCAAGCCGACTGGTATGGTTGACATGCCAGAGGGACGGCATGTCATCCAGAGGGACCTGGAGAAGCTGGCTAAATGAACCCATGTGAACCTCATGAGGTTCAGTGAGGCCAAGTGCGAGGTCCTGTATTTAGGTAGGAGCAATCCTCGTTATCAATATAGGCTGAGGGATGTTGTGATAAAGAGCAATCCTGCAGAACTTGGGGATACTGGTGGACAAAAAGCTGGACCTGAGCCAACAATTTGTGATTACAGCCCAGAAAGCCAATCACATCCTGGGCTGCATCAAAAGAAGCATGGCCAGCGTATTGCAGGAGGTGATTCTGTCCCTCTACTCTGGTAAGACCTCACCTGGAGTACAAGGAATGATAACCTCAGGATAAATCTTGGGAAGTTCTGCTTATCTTTGTCAGTGTCGTGTCTTAGTCTTTCCCTTTGCATACTTTCAGTGAATTCTCTTGTTTCTATTTATTGCTGCTTTTGAATATTTGCGAACTGTGCTTTTTTGGCAAGCAAGTAAGGAGATAGGAACAGAAATAAAAGGAGGTCATGCTCATCCTAAAATATGCAGTGTGTGTCACGACGTATGGTGACATCCCAGCCACCTGCTGGGAAGTACCCACGCTGAGTACATGCAGCAGGAACAAGGGAGATATGAGAAGTGAGATGATCATAAGCTGCCACCGTGTTCTGATTATTTCTCTGGATATATAGAGTTGGACCTCATCAGGAAGAAGACTCTAAGGTCCCATGTACTGTGAGACTGGTGCTCTAACAGCACCTCAAAGCCAAAGTGAGGTTTTGTAGATGTGTGTTTGCTTGAATAAAGGACATGAAAGAGTGGCCTCTGAGAGCTTTGGTGTTGTATACAGCCTGTTCCTGTCCGCTTTCCATATTTAAAATGTCAACATACTAGAAGGTCAGTCTCTTTGGAGGTAATGTGCTCTGTTTTCCAGCTGGTTGTAGGCAGTGATGAAGTCGTCGTTGCCTCTAAAGGAGGGGTTGTTGCGCATAGAGAAGTGACACTGCTGGGGAAAAAGCAGCCCTTTCCTGCCTCTGTAGTTTCCTTAGAGGCAAGAGAAGGGAAAAGATTGGCACTCCAGTTCTCCTCCAGCCTTTGCTTCCTAGCATCCCCTTCCTATTGCAAGAACAGCCCAGCCTGCCCTTGGCCGCTTCTCTTCTTGCAGTGACAAAACTCAGCTTTGCCTATGTGGCTGAGAAGCTTTGAGGTGGCTCTGGACAATGAACTTCTGCCTTTCATCTTGCAGGCTGCAATCATTTGTTAATTGGCAATGACATCATGGTAATCAAACTGTGTTTGGTGATGAGCTAAGGGTTTGTTTTGGTCTCCCTTACTAAGTGGACTAATTG